TATTTACAGTGCAAACATAATGAAACAATAATAAAGAGAAAAAACTTTGTCATGAGAACAACATAGAAAATGGGAAAACTAGTGCCTGGTTAACGATTGGGCCATGCCACTCGCCAAAAACAGAAAAACACAGAAAACCGGCTTTTGTGACTTGCTGCAGCAATCATTTTGACCTACCATCTCTATCATCTTAATAAAAATGAATAAATAATACCCATATAATATTATGCTTCAAAATATTTGGCCTATGCACCTATCTTTAACACTTTTCAACTTATATTATAAAAACTTATGAGGAACCTTGTATTAAATTTTCAAGCTTTATGACCCAATGAAAAAACTATTGATTTATAGAAAAAAAGAACTAAAAATATAGAAAATTTCAAATTTCCATAAATAACTTAAAACGAATCAAAATATTTTTAAAATTGTATCATATAATGAAATAAAAGTTTGGTGTACATTTCTTGCACCTATCCACAATTATTTGTTTTTGAATTACAAAAAATAAAAAAATCGATCCAAGAGAATTGGTTAATGTACGGCTGAATATCCAATGTCCAAAAATGTTGAACTTCCAACTCTCAAAAAAAATTAATTTGACAGTTGAAATATCGATTACTGTTGCAATTCCGGTTAACTTTTTTAAAATGAGAAAATGAGTGTGACGAATGATTAAATAAAAATAACTGACTTGTATATTCATTATACACAGTTTATGATTATAATTTATTAGTAAAATTAAAAAACACACTAGGTGGAATTAAAAATTTTAAATATCATCATTCAACCTTTAAATATTAATATTATTATTTACATTTACCTTAGACCTATATAGGTACTGTATAGCTAATATTAGTTACACGTGTTATAAACGGCAAATCGTTTTATGGGCTACATAACAATAGCTATATAGCAAAAGTTCGGAAGCTCATAAGGGTTATACCTTAAAATTTAACTTGTCGGAAAATTTCTACTCGTCACATATTCTACATAAATTATAACTTTTACAACAACATTAAATTCGAATTAATTATTTCAAAAACTCGTTGCCTTATTTAAACATATAATATAACAAAGTTAATTTCATTATTGGTGAATATTTTGCTGTTTAATTTAATAAGATTAAATAATTTTTATCATCACCGATAATATTTGTTAGTTTAAAAGCTTATAAATTATAATATGATATGGACCAATTTAGGTACCTATACAATTTAGGGCATTTTAAACAGAGTGATGGGTTTTTTGTGATCTCTAAAGACTACTTTGAATGTGAACAATTTATTCTAACTTCAATATCGATTATCTAAGGTGGTTTCTGGTAAGCTCAGTTTATATTTTGGTGATTCAAAAGTTCAAAAATTCACAGCAAAAAATTAAAATATTTACCACCTGCAGTTCTCGACAAAATCGATTTTGTTTTATCATAGTAATTTAAGTAAATCAATCATTAACCTTTTCACCAAATATTTGTATTTTCTTTTAAACATTAAATAATTTTCAAAATATTTTGGATCTTTTCAAGATAATTAAAGATTTTGATATTTTCTAATTTTTATTTGTTTTTAATAAACTTCAAAATAGATTGACATTAAATTACAATGTTTGGATGTTGCTTATAAGTTGTTCAAACAGCAATTACAAAATACTGAAAATATATTGTAATTTATTTTCTTTTATGAGCGTTTTGACTTTATACTTTTACGGAAATTGGGAAATTCACAAAAATGTGTCAATATACAATTATAATATTATTATAAATTAATAAAATATTTATTTTTTATACCTAAGCACTGAATACAAGATTCCCCGTGTGCACTTTTAAATTTTAAAAAATAGCTTACCTTTTATTATCCAATTTACAGTTGAAAAGGGATGTTCTCATTTGAAAAACAGAAGTTTATATCTCCCCAAGACACTCCTTATAAGTAGAAGAAAAAATTAGAAGAATTTTAAAATATGGTCTTAAGTATGTATTTAAAATTTTAAAATTAATTTTTGAATAATTACAATATTGAAAAAAAATGGGGTCATGCTTGGTGTATACAACCCTGTATATAATATTATTATTATTAATAATTATTAATTATAAAAATAATTTAATTTTAAGGCTTCAAATGCATGGTTATTAGCCTGTTAATACTGTAGGGGAGTACGGTCGGTTCGGAACAAGTGTATAATACGTGTTGAGGATTTGTCGCTAGAAACCCGGGTGGTCACCCTATCCGGGAATAGCGACATGGCTGTTAGTGAGGTCAACCACCGCGGCACACCAGACCAATGTATGATATTATTTGCAATGTTTTCAGCACAAATTAAATAAACATACCGTATTGCTTATCGAAAAATATATCACTAATAGGTAGTATCCAATATCTTATACAAATTATAAAATATCTTTAAAAATATAGACTGACACATTGCTTAGAATTGATTATCACTTATTTTACATTGATTTACACAATGACGAAGTCAACTGTCCAAGCTAGAAACCTATTTTAAAGTAATTTGACTTCCGTGTTTTTTTTTTTGTAATTCTGTCAATGGATAATAATTATATAATAAATCCAGACATTCAGAAATAATTAAATCGTATAATCGTATAGGTCTATATTTTTTTTATTATTAAAATATTCAACATTTGGTTTTTGTAAAATGTATCTTTTTTTTTATTTGTATAGGTAGAATTTTTTTTTATATCACGTACATTAATATCATAGTTATTTTTAAAATTGAAATATTTTATGAAAGAGGACACTATAAAATACTTAAAATTCACAAATTAGTTACAAATGTCACCTATTTCATATTAAATTATTAAATAAGTACAAAAGTATATGCATATTTATTGAAAGTAAACGATAAAAGTTTTTTTGGAAATAAAATCATAATTAAGTTAGGTGCCCACACTTATAATTTATAACTTATATATATATATTATATATATATATATAGGTACAGTATAAAAGTAAAAACTCACCTGTTCAGCATTCAGTATAACTACCCACTGTGCTAAAGAAAATAATAATTTAAAAAAGCGTCTCTTTATATATTTTATTATAATATAGGTATTCTGTATAAATATAATCCGTATCGATTTGGGTGAGAAATTCAGAAACGTGCATTGCATTCATAACGATAATTCGATTTTGATATAATATTAATATACGATATATGTATATACATAATAAAATATACATAAACTGATATACCTACAATGTATGATTATATACATATATTTAGATTCTAGAAAACAGGTTGTTGAGATACCAAAGACAGAGCTCGTGAGTCCTGATGAGATTTTAAACCATTCCCCCTTTGATATAGGGAAGGAGGAGGTGCAGAGAGACGCAAAAACAGATATATTGTAGCTGCTAGTCCCAAGAGGGAGGCGATACTTAAGTTCGTTAGCATTCAAAGTCGCATTAAAGTAGAAACCAGGGAAATTTAAATAACTTGGATAATCTTGGATTATCATTTAAGGCCATGGTAAGTTTTTAACTCGCCTGCGCAATTTTCTTCAGGGCGCCGCGCGAGCATTTCTAATTATTCAAAGTTAGTTTACACGCCCAACCAATCGGCTGAAATTTATTTGAATTAAGCGGTAGGTAATATAAATTAAGAGATAATTTTGAATTTATCTTAATATTTAAAAAGAATATAATATCGAAAATGTACAAGACTTAAATATTAATAATATGTTAGTGTAATTGTGCGATGTAATTATTGTAATATTATAATATAATAAGTAAGTACCTATATTGAATAATAATGTCATAGTATTTTTATTGTTTAAGACATTTGCACATTTGGTAAACTTTTACACAAAACTACTGCAAAAAACATTAAAATAATATGCATAAGTTCTTTCCCTGATCAAAATTAGTTTCATAAATTAAATAGTACCAAAATCTGATATTTAAAAGTACAGATTAAATTTAATTATTCAAAGCTTATATTAATCCTTAATTTTCAAAAAACTACACAATAGGCAATGTGCAATGATAATTAATATTGCTGATGATTGATGAATGTATCATTATGAAAGATTTTAGTGTAATAATTGCTTACAACAATTTAAGTGTTTAGACGTGTTTAGGTTTCACTTTAACAACTAAAAACTAGGTATACGTCCTATGTCTTACGGCTTAAATTGATATTTGTTTGACAATTATCCGAGAACTTCAATTGATTACAAATTAGGATAATTGTAGTGGATGTATGATATATAATACCATTGGGTATTTTATGAAGATATTATGAATTTTATAAAAGATATTGTTTTAAAATCACTATGATAAAGAACTGTAAAAATAGTTAATAAACAAAAGTAGTTGACATATTTTTAACATGGTCAAACTTTTAGAAAATTTTTTCAAATAGGTACTCTTCTATGTTTGGCCATTTTGTTGAATAAATATTTTTAAATAATAATAATAATAATATTTTATTGTTGCATAAAATATCATGTTAATAATAAATAATATTTGGTTCATAACCTTTTTTTTTACCAATATTGATGTGGATGGATTATGTGGCGCCATCCTGTGTAGTACGCTGCAAAATATTATTATAAAACCTAGCTATACAGTATACAGGTACCTCTATTTAACACATATTTTAAATGTTATATTTTGCAATATCTATAATTGGAGTTTCCAGATGTAAAATGTATAACTATAACTAATTGCTACGGTACTATGATTGTTAATTATTATAATTTTATTTTGTATTAATATATTGTAAGAGAGTTATTTATATAATTAAAAACATACTTAAAATTTAAATAGTTACATATCCCAAGGTTAGTTTTAAATTTTGCTTTTACACAGTTATATAAATACATACTACGTAAATTAAAATTATAATTTATGAATTCTTCAAATAAAAAGTTGGAATATTGAATTAAATTATTAATTTAATTACAGATATTATCGTCTTATTCTATTGTCTATTGATATAATTATATGTATTTATATATTTATAATAATTTTTTATCATGTTATATGCATATTATATTTATCATTCATAATAGCTTTTTTACCCGTAATACAAGTTATTAAAGGTGGGGTATCACAAGTACATATTGTTTTGTGCGTATCTGATTCAGAATTTCTGATTGAAAGTCGGTCAATCTTTAATTGTTGGCCTATTGGTACACTAAGATTCCCATATTTGCACACATGGCTACTGGAACCAATGGTTCCATTTACTTCAACGGTACCCATATCGGATTCGTATTCAGCTAAAAAATACGATTATATTATACGTATTATTTAATTATAGACAAACTATTTTTGATGATTGATAAATTAAAACCCATTAGTAATAAAATATTTATATATTTTAAACTTACATTGATACCAGTTGATAGGACATCCATCCTTTTCTTCATAATAAAGAGGAGCGTCTCGATTCAAAATATTTTCCATGTAAAGAAGCTCATAATTGCATTTAAATTTTCTACAGGATTTATCATTAGCCGTACCTATACATATTTAAGAAATGTAATGTTACAATGAACCATATTTAAACATCCTAAGTATTTTTTACAGTGTTAAAATCACTTTTACTTAATTTAATTTTTTTTTTATTAGATAGACCCGATAACCACATGCCCATATGGTATGATTGTTTCATAATTTTTCACTATGAATGTTTTGAAACTATTGAGATGAACCATTCTAAGGTAATGGTAGTTTTTTTTATTAATGGAAACCGACGCTGACTTGAGTTAGATTAAATCTTCAGGTGGACAAAGTTTTATCCCCCAAAACCAAATGTGCCTCATTAGAAGAATAAAATAATTTATTGGACATTTTTAGAGAGGGTAAAGTTTGATCTAGACTAACAGGGTAAATGTTTTCTTATCCCCTCCCCTTGCTACTCTTTAAATTAAGTTTTTTATCTAACCTTGTATTAAATTTAAAACATAGGAATACATTAAGAGGACGTGATACCCGCATGTGTTGTCTCCGTCTTACATAGCAAATTTTCGTTCAGCAAAACAAGTGTAACTTCGTTAATTTAAAAATTTGAGTAAATCGACCTCTTATAAAATCTAAAGGTAAGATTATTATCTAGACAACCTCATGGGCTTTTTATTATATTTTAATTTTAAAGTGAGTTATGAGTACTTTAAAATGTACAAACAATTTAGAATTTTAAAATACTCATAACTTGCTTTAAAATTAAAATATAATAAAAAGCCTATGAGGTTATCTAGATAATAATCTTACCTTTAGATTTTATAAGAGGTCAATTCATTCTAATTTTTAAGCTAACGCAGCTACACTTGTTCTGCTTTGCGTATAATTTGCTATGTTACGCATTTGTGAGACGGAGACAACACATGCGGGTATCACGTCCTCTTAATATTTTGTGAACTTTGAACTAAAAAATAACCAGCAAATTATCAAGGATTTGATGAAAATTCTTACTTAAAACGCTCAACATTTTTTTTTTAAATTCGAGTAATAATAACGTACAAGGGAACTTGTATTCAATTTTATCAAAGGATAGATATTTTTTTCAAAAGGTATTAAAAAAAGTCATAAATTTTAAATGTCTATAAATTAATTAAATAAATTTCGCGTGATGAAAATCAAAATATTTTGGAAATTATATCTAGTCGGTTTAATGGTCATATAATTAATATTTATCAACGACAATTTATATTTAAATTAAACAAAATCGATTATGTCAAAATCTACTTATACCAAAAATTTCAGTTTTTCCTTAATTTTTTCTCCCTACAATTAAAAAAAGTATAGGCACATTTTTAATGTTGAAACCACCCTCAATGTTGAAATTCTACTGCATCAAAAAGTGATACCAAAATTGAATTAAAAATAACAATTGTAGTATCAATAAATTCATAGCTTCACTAATCAGTTTCTAATTCACTTTAAATTGTCTTAAAATGTATTACAGTGCATTATTTACCATTGAATTCCGGTGAGCACACGCATTGGTAATCATTTTTAATTTTAAATTGTTGTCCATCCTTATAAGTTACGCCATCGTGAATACATTCATGAATGGTGACATTATCATTCTCAACTGAAAAAATATTTAATGTTATAAATTTATTGCATATTGCACATAAAATTATGTTAATTTTCAATCCCAATACCCCCTTTGGTTCCTAACATTTACATTATAATATAGAATCTAGGAATTATTTTCATAATTTAGCTTAAGGTTTCTATTTTCTATAATGATTACTTAATTCTATCTGATAAAATTCTGATTAGTTTCTATTATGATCAGTGATGACTATAGGTATAAGCTATACAGTAGCTAGTTTGGCATAAAATATGTATAATATAAGATCACTGGGTATAAAGATGATGACCATTCTGTCAGTCATTTACTGATTTAGAGTTTCTTGTTGTACCTAGTTAGGCTTAACCCCCTACCCCCTCGGCGCTAACCACGACTCACATACTGCTTAATCCCAGCCTCGCGACTCCAGCAGTGTACTGACTTCATCTTCACAGTCTCTGGCTTTACTCATTTAATACAATATACAAAATCTACTTAGGTATATGATTCTTACTACGGGTTGTTTATAGTAATATTTGAGCAAATTTACTTAGGTACTATCGAACTTGTAGAGTGGAGAACCAAATATACTGTTTTATATTCGAATGAAGCATTTTGTTTTAATGTGTTAATATTAAAATGAGTTATAACTATGCATTAAGTACTTACAAAATTTGATATTTTTAATTTAAAAAAAAACACACATCATTGTAAAATCAATACATTCATCGTTCCGCTCAGAATCTAAAATTAAAAACATTTGTGGGTTGGTCGCATCTATGTCACCGAGACCGAGATAAATGTCTCTAACCACCGTCATCAATCAAATTTTCAAAATTAAAATTTAACGTCATCTTTATAATATAATATTAGAAATATAAGAATATCACCTTTGTAATGTTTTAATTTTTAATGAAAAAAACACCGTCAAACTCCCTTTCGTTGTACTCTTACTCTTTCTCCTCGCTTTTCTATATACTCATGCATGCAACTATGCAGGGGCGGACTGGCAGATCGGGAGATCGGGAAATTTCCCGATGGGCCGGTCGAATAATCGAATTATGGGGCCGGACAATTTGGTTGTACAAGTAACTTATTACAATTTTTAGATTATAATAAGAGTTTATCAGTTTTTGGTAAATTTAAAATCTATAGAATATAACATAAATAATACGTTAATACGATAATAATCGTACCTTAATATAATTTTGCTTTTCTAAGAAACATACGAAACATAAGGTAAACATTACGCTGCCGCCTGCCGGCCGCCGTTCCGTGTTGTTTATAATATACGATAACGATATATTATTAATTCGATGTATTATTGTTGTTAGTTGTTATATAATTTAAAAATATACCGTTTTCGTCCGGGACTAACAACACTGTCGTCTGTGATATTATATAAAATATAAATATTACTTATTAGTTCATTTGTATTTTGTATTGTCAAGTGGAAAGATTACTTTCGAAGCAATGTTTACGATCATAACCTCAGCTTTTTAAAGGTACAAATCAATTTTTAAATAATATATTATTATAATTTATTGTAAAGAAAGTAAAGTTATTGTTATAAGGCCTATACATTTTAATCTATATTCAATTATTATTAAAAATTGGTTAAATGGTTTAAAATATAATAGAATTATTAGTTTTAGAGGCCTATCCGGCTATCCCCTATTAGCTATTTGAATTTTGAATCCCACCGTGTGTTGTTGTTTTGTCGTTTTTAAATTGAATTATTCTTAATTCATATTGTTACGGTTCCCTAAGACCACATATTTTATATTTTTCTATAGTATTTGAATAAAAATGCTGATAAAAACCAAGGCTCTGCATCCAAACGTAATATTTTTAGATTATTATTAACAAATAATAATTTAACTCTACCTTTTGTTATTTATGTTATTCAATTATAATAACTATAATATAAAATATAATTTTATTTACATGATAAATTACTATTGAGTTATATTATATATTGAGGTTCTTCAGTAATAAAAAGAGAAAAACTTTAAAGTTTATATAGAAAATTTCAAATATTTTTTACTCTTAAGTGTTTTATTTAAAATTATGGATAACTAAACATTATAAATAGTAAATGTTAAATATGGTTTTATTTAACCCTATAAAAAGTAAAAAGAATTATGATACCTATGTAGCTTTTTAGTGTTTGTACGCCACAGAAGGAAAATATACTTCTGTACTGGTTGACGATTACCGATTAATAATATAAAAGAAATATACCTATTGATAGCAAATAGGGTAATAGGGTATTGATGTCCATCAAATTTCTAAAATGTTTTATTTATCTTCTGTTAGTATTAATTATAATTTAAATATTCAACTGAGAAAATGTCTGGTATTTCAAACGTAAGTGCTGCAATAGTGTGTTAGATTAGGCCTTAGACAATATGTCAATATAATGCTTAAGTAGTTCCGGCAGGCAACGCCATCGATGTTACAAAAAAAGACCTTAGACAATGGTTTATGGGCGATGGGCCGCTTGAAAAAAAATTCCCGGGCCGCTCTGAAGGAGCCAGTCCGCCCCTGCAACTATGCAAGTACGTCCAGTAATTAATATGGTAGTAATTGCCACTATAGATTTGAGACTGGCTTCGTATTTACGACTTAATATACAGACAGAGACAACACATTTACACATCCGATGTCCTCTTGACATAATATCATTGGCAAATCAGGGTGACACTTTATATATGACCTAACCTAACGATACTTAATTATTTTAATTACATATTCTAATATAAGAATATACAACTATAATTTTAAACAATAATTGTTCTGTATTATTTAGGTTTTGGATGTGATTATACTTTTAGTAAAATATATGAAATATAAATTGGGAAATCAGGTGGTAGTAAATTTAAATAGATTGAATTATACTTATTATAATTATTATTATATAATATTTAGTTATTATTATATATATAGACATTTAGTTCTAAATTCATAAATCACGTACCTCGTTACAGGTACGTTAAATATGAATTATGGAAAGTGGAAACTATTAACTAGGCAATTCAGTGCTATAGGTATACTTAAAAATAATCACGAAGAGTGCACTTTTTCAGTTCTCCCAATTGATCAAAATAATATTTTAATATTTTTTTTTATACCAATAACATTTTAATTGGACAGTTAAGGAACTTACTACAGTACGATTCAATCTCACAGCATACATTTTTATCAAATTTATAATAACAATTGTCGGTCAATAATGAGAAATAAGATGGACATCGATCATATTCGCATGCAAATGTAGCTGTTGTTTTGCTGAAAAATGAGAATAGAATTATTCACTAAAGATGATAATACAAATTAATAAGATTTTAAATTTTAACTTTTTACAACTGTTTCAGCGTGTATTAAAAATCGAATATAATTTAATAATTACAAGCTTCTATACATATATTTTATTATGTACTTCTTTTACTTATTAATCGTTTTTTGATTGCAGAAGCAACCGGACACACATAAGCTTAACTCGGAGTCAATCTGAGAGATATTATCTTTTGGCGAGTACACATTTCCATTAAGATAACAGTTGTCACTTGATCTTGTAAACACGTTTTCTACAAAAGTTAAATTCAAATTATAAAAATTAATAATTATATGCATCTATATATGAGAACATTTACCACAGTCGTATGCCACTGCACAAGAATTTGAACCATTTTCAAAAATAGGTTTACATCCAATTTCTGTATATAATAGTTGATTACTGTCACAAACTTAAAACAAAAAGGTATTTAAAATTTATGTTTCCAAAATAAACTTAACTTATTAAGATACATATCAAAAATTATAGACTACCTGCACATATTGCAAAATCTAGGTATAAAATTAATAAAATAAGTTTCAAAAAAAATGTCCTATCTTTAATTGAAATCATTTTGTTCAAAATATTATGTGAACTTTGTTGTAGCCTGTAAGACGATGCGAAGCTAACAGAGAGTATTGCGTAGTGGCTGAAGCCTTCAACATGCAAACCAACTAATCATAACCAGTTTGATAGAAATAATGACCATGAATTTTAATCGTTGCTAAAATATTTTTTATAAATATTATAATAAAGTATATTTTAATAAATTTTTAAATATTTACATGATAAATATTACTATATTTTAAAAGTAATAAGTTATAATTTTTTTGAACAGAAGAATAACTATTTTCAAATTATTAAGTCAAGGTACATTATAAAATGATAATATTAAAAAAAAAAAATGTAATTTAAAATACTAATTGAATAGATTAGGTAATATCACTATGTCAGTAGCTACTGTAAATGTAATATAAATGTTGATTGTTGGGTAGTAAAAAATGGCGTTAATGACAATATTAAAAAAAGAATATTCTTTTTAAAACTATTATTTTCATTGAATAAAATCCCAAAAAAACTTCAAAATATAATATTATTACGTATTTACATTTACCATATAGATAAGAGTCATTGTAAATCATATTTAAAATAAAATTCTTTATTTTGAATCTGTAGAAAATGGAAAAACATGCTACTGTAATTCAAAATCCAAACTAAACATAAAACCAATTAAATCCAATTTATTAAGAAGAAGTATACAACTTTATGGAATAGGTATAAGGAAGGAGGTATTCAAGTATGAATGACCATGATGAATTTATTTCGGTCATATTGGTTCACTTTTCAATACTTGAATTATTCGCATATAGGTACAATATTGCACGTGTTGCATGCACCAAATCTAAAGTTAATAATTTTATGATCCAAACATTCGCATGATTTTTTAACGTCAAAAAAAAATCCATGTAAAAAATAACGTTTGTATTACTAGTCACTGAGCCATAGGAGTACCTATATTTTTACAAAAGCAAAATTATCTTCTAGAAAAATCGTTGTTCAACTAATTTTTATACATTTTTCTAAAACTTTTAAAAATCGTATATTATGTTACCGAAATAAGACGATATTTTGAATCTGTAATATTATATTTTTTGATATAGACAACACGACGTCATGTGAGCGTTTGGCGTCACTCCTCTTTGAGAGAAAACAAAAATCGTATATGGTAGCGCTATCTAGCAGAAAAAATGACTGGGAGGCAGTAGAGAAGGTTTCAGTGTTTAAGAGAACGAGTGCGGCGGTAGATATCACTGCCCTTATTGTCTAGACGCATTACATTACAAATAATCAATTTCAAAATATTATTATAAAACAAGTTTTATTTACTTTCATTTTTCAGTATAATTTTAAGAAGGAGTACAAACAATTCTAATAATACCTAGTTAAATGTAACATTACACTATTTTGAATTAGTAATTACCTACCTACAAAATTAATTCTGCAAAAGTACAAAAACCCAATATTTTATTAAGTAAAATGAAAAAAGTATTTTAAATACATTTTTAATACTTTTTGATTGGATGTATCTGTATTTAAATACAAGTTTAACCTAGTATCATTTAAATTGGTTTCGGAGGGAAAACATTAGTTTTATCTTTACGAAGGTGCACAAGAAACAACCTCAAAGAGCTTATAAATAATATTTTGATACCAAAAAGTCAATATCGACAAAATTTGAGTTACGAGATATTGTCATTAGTGTAACGACATGCACCAAATCTAATATTAATGATTTTATGATCCACACATTCAAATGATTTTTTAATGTCAAGAAAAGTTCTGAGTAAAAAGTAACTTTACATAGTACAACTATCCACTGAGCCTTAGGAGTTTCTATAATTTTAGAAAAGCAAAACTAACTTCCCCAAAAGTCGTTCCTAAACTAATTTTTATACATTTTTACATCGTTTTTCGTATACAATGATATCAATGGATTCAAATTTAATATAATTCATTACAGTGCCCCACTTATACCTATTGTACATCAGTACATCAGAGTGAAATTCGCATAACCGCTTTTTGGTGATTGAGAGGTATGAAGGAAAATCAAAATATGTTTTTGGCAGAAGAACAAATAAGTGATGTTATGTAGGTACCTATTAAAGTAGAATAGAGAAACTTTCTGAGAATTGTTTCCAATTTGATAATAATAAAATTGGATTCACCGAGTCACAAATAAACAATACCTCAATGGCTCTATTATTCAACTCAGCCTAAAATAATGTTATGCGACCCACAATTGAGTTTCAAAAAATTATCAACAACAAACACCACTGACCACTACCACCATCAAATATACTGGTAGGTACAATCAAAAATGTCAAATGTCAATACATTTTAGAAAATACTTTTCCCTACAACTACAAACCCCATTCCTTCAACATGATGGCTCTCAACTCTTATGAAATTCAGAACATAATATTCAACTATATTCGTACAATTATAATACATAATGCTAATCTTATGCTAACCACACAACATAACAATCATGTTAATTTAGTTTGAAACGTCCTGAAACTTTTTGCATTAATATTAAAATGTTATAAGTTGTTATAATGTTTGTAAAGGTGTAATTCCAGTGGCGGCACCAGATATTTTTTGATGGAGGGAGGGGGGGCTTTTATGTATGGCTACTCGATCACCCATTGATTTGTTTATAGTATATCATATTTTCAAAAAACTAAAAAGTATTCGTAAAAACGTTTTGGGTATAATCTAAATAAATAATCAAAAAAGGTTGGCAAATGTGTGTCGCTCTGCTGTATAATAAGTTACAAGTGGGTCTTTTATTAATTTTAATTCAATGACATAATATTATTGGATAAAAAAAACGATTCTCAGCGAAGACGGTCAATCAGCCTGTGATTTTCAATCATGTTATGGTGTATAGAAAATGAAAATATAAACATTCAGTTAAATTTTCATGTATCTACAGTTATTCGTTTTTGAATTGCAACAAAATAAGAAAATCGCTAGACTTATGTAGATAAGTAATCGAGTGAATATCCAATGTTGTAAAAATTTGATCTTCAAATGCTAGTAAAAATTTAAGTTTACTTTAAGGTGGAGATTTTTTTTTTTGATAAAATTAGACAAACTTATGAATAATCTTGACTAACTAAACAAATTAGAAACTTAAAATGTGCGTAAACATCTCAAAACAATTCAAAAATATTCAAGATATTTTTAAAATTATATGGTGTGTAGAAAATGGTAATATACACAACCAGTGAAAATTGCATGTAACTTCGGTCATTATTTTTAGAGTTACACCAAAAACCCAAAATCGATTTGGTCAAAAATCGATTAGGCGTAAAAATATCCGTTTTTCCTGTCGTTTATGAAAACTACTGAGAATTTTTAATATTAACCTCCCCTCAGGCCCCTCAATGCACCAACTAGATTCACTTTTTCATCGATCAAGATACTGAAGTTGAAAATCGAACTATTATTTCGACTACTTCTAGCCTAACCTTACAAAAACCCAAAAAATAAAAAATACACATCATTGTAAAATCAATACATTACTCCGCTCAGAATCTAAAATATACCTACTATATCATTATTATCACAAATTTACTACACTAAAACTTCAAATTTCCTCCATTTTCTTTCACTTGTAAGTAACAATAGTACATTACATAACTTTTTATTTTTTAATGTATGAGATTTTAGAAAGTGTGCAGTTAGTATTAACTTATTATTGAGTATTTTTATTTCTAAATGTGCAAAATTAAATGTTTTTAAAATTAAAATTGTCAACATTAAATTATAGTTTTGGGTGGGGGTTCGGCTGGTTCGGGCAACGGAGTTGCAAAATAAAATGTCGAGGGGAACTTTCCCACCTTTTACCCTAGTGTAACGCCGACCCTAGTTATAACTAAGATGGAATATTATTAAACTTAGTAATATTGACAGTTGACACAGCCACTCAGTATTAATAGCTGTTGAAGTAATTAATGAAATACCTAGCTCATAATAATATTAAAAGTAAATATATTATGTTAATTTTCTTGTTATGTGCACATAAACGTACAATCTAATGTCAATTCCTTTTACCACTAATTTAATGTTTTCAAAAACAAGCGATACGCGTTTTACGCTGTTAAATAAATATTTTCTGCGGTAATATTTGCTTGAATGAATTAATACTCTTTGAAAGATACATTACATGACATTTTAACTAAATATGATATTAAATTAGTCGTTTAGGTACTTCGTCGTCATATTTTGTAACTTTATCAGTTTATGTTTTTCGTTTTGTATTTTGAAGTTTAAATTTAATATAATTTATAATGATGAATTAAATAACAAATAACTAATAACCGTTGCATATGCACCTACTTATATCAATTCAAATATTATATTATTATATTAATAATTAAAATATCAGATCAGTTTTTTAAAGAAACATCATTAAAATTTTCATTTAGTCGTTCATAATAATTTTACGTTTAATATTTAATAACTTTTTTGTCTCTGAATAAAAATAAAATATATTTGAATTGATTTTTATTTTAGAAAACCCATTATGATAAACTGTGGATTAATTATGTTTGACATATTATTATGTCCACTTTTTGTTTGAATGTAGAATATTTCTGTGTTATATAATTTATATAAAAGGGGCAGAGTTTTATTTAAATATGATATCATTCAAAATGAAACATCCTCACACATGTCACCTGCGTACTAACGGAAAAAAATTTCAACCAATATAGGTAATACATACCTATTATATTCAACTTTATTATAAAAAAAAATATGTTTACAAAAATGCAATATGACAGCTTTCAATATGAATAGTAATTAAAACCCATTCGATGGATTAAAATTAATAGTATAATTATTATTATAGTAAAAATACGAAAATACAAAACAATAATATTATGAATGGCACCTACCTATGTTTAATGTATTACGTTTTTAATTTCCCAGAAATTATTATAATTCTCATAGTAGAGGCAATAGTATATAGTAGGGAGTAAGAATGTTGTTATATTTTTTTCTCA